AAGGCGGTGGTGTTAGGGCGCTAAGCCGCGCTTGGTTTTTACCCTTTATACAACGTGAGTGGGCAGTGATCGATCAGACAACTCGTGGTGCATGCGAGCTTAATGAAAGATATGAAAAACGTGACATCCGACTTTATGAGATATTCCCGTAATTTGTTTGAGGAACATCGCGTCGATGAAGTTAGCCCCTTCTTGCCGAAATCTTTCTTTCCATCATTTCCTGTGTTCATGCAAGATAAGAGGTGATCGAGGAGCGATTTTTGACTGCTTGAGGCACGCGAAACGAAACGAGGCAACATCACTGCTATTATGAACTACGCCATTGACTCAATTATTTGCTGGCAATCTACAGTGTGACCGAGACTCCAAAGGACTCCAAAACTAGAAATCTGTAATGCACCTTCCGCAGCAAGGTTCTTCCCTCCCACGAGTCGTTCACTTAAAGGCACGAGTCGGGATTGAATTGATGCGTTATTTTGTTCAAACATTAGGCAAGGGGTGCAATGAGGAACATTAGTGAGGAGAAAAAGCAAAAAGCACCATAGAAAACACTAAATTTCCCTTAGGAGGCCGGCCGTAGTACGACGGAGAGACACAGCGCTGCGAGGAGAGGGAGAACGCGAGATAGTACGTCGTACGCGAGAGGACGCAGAGACCACGTATGCCGTGGTGGATTACGCTGGCAGCGCGGGCAGCGCGGCGGGCAAGGCCTTAGCGCCATTGCCGCGCACTTTTGGGTCGCGATAGTGTCGCGCCCTCAGTGCTTGGGGAGCCCACTATCGCACCCTGGGAAGAACTTCTGCTGGTTGCCTAATCCTGACTCGTGGCTTTAAATGAACGATTCTGAGGCAGGAGTTCACAGATGGAATAGAACAACCCTAGCAACATTAGATGAGTTGCCTTAGGTGAGATCTCGCCTTATATTGAAAGTCGTGTATTGAGGAGTGTTGTTTTCAGGAGTAGGGAACAGGACCAAATTGATGTGGAAATCTCGCTCGAATATGAAAGTAGAGATGCGAAGGAACCGAATCGGAGAAAAAGGGAGGGATTCCTAAAAAAAACTCAAAGTAAGAATTTTTTGCTGTATGCTGCGGAAAAGTGTGATGGTAAGAGACAGGCAGCGTGACAGAGACAAGATATCGCATGGCGGGCACGGATCCTTTTCGGAGTAGGGGATAAAAGTCCTAAGCGCCCGGCGTCTTGAAAACGCATGTAGAAGCTCGAAAGTGGTGCGACGACTGCAGTGTGCACCTCTCTCCAAGGAAGGGACTTCCTCAGCGAGGATGAGCCCGACACTTCCTTTCACACATTCACGACAGTCCGCCTGTGACCTATGCTCGTGGGATGCTGGCAGCTCATAGGGCCTGCAAGCTAGTACTCACATGCGATTCGATAATACCATTATCTTGATATTTGATAGCAACGAAAAAACTAGGGCCATTGGATAACAATAAATAAAAGATTGGATGCGCTTAGTTTTCCTGTACCCCGCAAAATTATTGCTTTTGTGAACCCTTCGCTTCTTTCTATTAAAATCAATATGTTAATTCAAAGAGTAGCAAAGTAAATCTTCTAAATCTAAATCTATATCAAGCAGATCTTGAACAAAAAGGCAAAAATGCTCACGTTGCTCTTTACAACGGAAATTAAGAAGTCTTGTCTTTTCGCTATTACACGTCCTCACTGTTTTAGTAATCTGGTATTATTTCCCTGTATAATTTCTATGAGTCAAAGATTGGTGGAATTATCATGTCACATCCATGTTTTGCCTCTTTCAGAACCCAAAATCTGCGGATATAAGGTGAGGCGGCGGCAATCGCAAAATCCCGCTCGTCCCAAGCGACCAAAAACGTGAAACCACGTGCGTCATCACGAAGTGCCGTAAAGGCCACATCCAGACATAGAATTCGCTGAACGACTCCTACGTCTGTAGAAAACCGCTCCTTAGCCATCGCAGATGCACTCCCAGTGCCTTGTAAATGGTCAGACAAGTATACAATGCCCTGCAAGCAAGTGCAATCACCTGCAGCTTTTTTTTACTTCTATCAGCTGTTGTCGCGCAAACGTCTCACCTCATACTCTCCTTTCGCGCGCTCATTTTCGCTAATGTCCTTTTACCAGCCCGCACTTGCGACGAATGAGGCAAAGCGCCAATCTTGAACGTTCTCGACAGATTTCTTCATTTTTTCTTCAGTGTCAAATGTTTCTGAACGCACTTTAGGTTGGTGTAGACAGCTCCAGCTGGAAAAACGGCATGTCGTATAGCGTGCAGTCAAAATATTCCTTATGCAAAAGACACGTGACATTGCTAGGAATCGTTTTCGTGCGAACTTGATAACCGTGACAATTTAAAAAATACGATATGAACTTTGATCCCGGTGGGGGTTTCCGCCAGGGTCAACCGTGCATTACGCAGAACTCCCTCCTTTTCGGAGAGCATCAGTACGACCTTCTCGCACCTGTTATAAGCGTTTGTGTCGTTGTACATTGATTTTCATTGCCCAGCATCGAATAGCCATCACGCCTACATATACGGATGAGATGTGGACACTCGGGTAGTCGCGCCTTTCTCGCTTCACATGATAAGTCACGTCACATCCGACCAACACTTGATATTCTACTCATTGAAATGGTTAGCGTCCAGATTTTCGCGTAAACCTATGCACGGTAGTAATCGTAGAGATTCTACTTGCAGAAACCTACCATGTCTTTTTTTCAAACTATTCAATTCTCTTTTATAAGGCGGCTCCTCCGCGCAAAGTTCCACTTTCGATGCGTGTTGAGACAGCCTCAAAGTTCAGGAAGCGAAGCCTCAGGACAGTCATCAACTGGGATCACTTCACTTCTCTTGTCATCTCATGGGAGGATTCCGTTATCGAGAACATCGACGAGGAATATCATCGGCTCGTTGAACACCTTCACGAGAGTGGCAGGAAGGCAGAGAGTTTGCAAGTCACCAAAGGACGTCTGTCTACGGAAACTCTCGAGCTGATACGCCAACGTGGAGCCGCACGAGCTGCAGGCAATCACCAACTCACGTCCGAGCTTGCGAAGCTATGCAGAGAGGCGATAAAGGAAGATCTCAAGGAGCGAAGAGCAGCAGTATTAGCTGAAGCAGCAGAGGCTGGGAGGAGCATCCGCAATGCCCGCCGAAGCTTTGCCAGCTACAAGACCAAGATGACCTGCCTCCGACGTCCGATGGAACAGTTACTGCATCCCGAAGGGCAATGGAGAAAGTCATCCACGACTTCTACTCGGATCTCTTCGATAGCCATGTCCATCTGCCCACTTATCAACTGCAACAGGATGGATACGTCGTCCCCTCAGTACTCTCTTCCGAAGTCCGACACGCCATCAAGTCGGTGAAGAATCGTACAGCACCCGGTCTCGACAGGGTCAAACCGGAACATCTGAAGAATGCGCCGCCAGTTATCATCAAAACTCTGGTTCGACTGTTTCACAAGAATGCTGGCTTGTGAACAAAACTTTCGCCCCAGGCGGGACTAGAACCCGCACCTCTCGCTTTCCGGGCAAGTGCGCTACCAGTTACGCTACCGGGGCACCATGAGTTGGGAGAATATGAAAGTTATTACGCAGCATACTGTGAAACATTCGCAAGGCGAACTGCGGCAAAACAGCAGTTAACAAACAAAAACAAGTCAAAATCATTGCTAAAGCTTTCAGCCTCGCGGTCATTGCCGATATCGGCTAACCGGCTCAACACGTTAGACGTGTGAGTGCTGAAAGCTATGGTACGTATACCATGAAAAGCTGAGTTGGAATGAAATGGTGCCCCGGTAGCGTAACTGGTAGCGCACTTGCCCGGAAAGCGAGAGGTGCGGGTTCTAGTCCCGCCTGGGGCGAAAGTTTTGTTCACAACCCAGCATTCTTGTGAAACATTCGCAAGGCGAACTGCGGCCAAAAACAGCAGTTAACAAACAAAAACAAATCTGGTTCGACTCTTCACGCGCTACCTGTCGGAATGCAAGGTACCCACTCCGTGGAAAACCAGCAGGACCGTGTTGCTGTACAAGAAGGGAGACTTGGACGACATTGGCAACTATCGCCCAATCTGCCTGCTGTCTGTAATCTACAAGCTATTCACACGATCATCCTTTAACAGGATCGGCAGAATACTAGATGAAGGACAGCCATGCGAGCAAGCAGGGTTCCGAAGAGGGTTCAGCACGATCGACCATATCCACACGGTTACGAAGACTCATTGAAGTTTCACGAGAGTACAAGATGCCGCTTTGTCTCACGTTCATCGACTTGAAGAAGGCCTTCGACTCTGTGGAGACAGAAGCGGTCATCGAAGCCTTGGGCAACCAGGGCGTCCCTACTCAGTACATCAAGATTCTTCGTGAGCTCTACAGCAACTTTACGACCAGAATCTCACCATTCTACAAGGAGGTCATCATCGACGTCAAGAGAGGGGTCCCGACACCATCTCGCCCAAACTCTTCAGCGCCGCTCTCGAGAACGTCATGCGTCAACTGGAATGGGAAGAACATGGTCGAAGGTCGACGGCCGGCAACTACACCACCTTCGTTTTGCTGACTGACGACATCGTTCTTATAACGCCGAACATCGAGCAAGCGAATGCTGGCTGATTTCGACTGCGCCTGTGGTAAGGTCGGTCTACAGCTGAACCTAACGAAGACGATGTTTATGAAACGGATTGGTTCCTGATGCCCCATTCACGCTCAACGGAACGAACATCACCGAATGCTCCAGCTACGTGTACCTAGGTCGGGAAATCAATATGATGAACGATCTAGCTCCAGAGCTGAGCAGGAGGAAACGAGCGGCTTGGGGAGCGTACAAGAACATCGAGGGAGTAGTGAAGAAAGACCGAAAGAACATCCGGTTCCGTGCCCACCTCTTCGATTTTGTAGCCCTTCATACCTCAACCTACGCCTCAGAGACTTGGACTCTGCGCATGCAGGGCGAGCATGCGTAGCGTTATCCCAACGCGCTGTCGAGAGGACGATGCTAGGAGTAACCCTATACACGCAAAGTGCAGAGGGGAATCCGGAGTTCCGAACTACGCCAACGATCGAAGATCAGGGACGCTGCCGTTTTCGCCAAGGAATCGAAGATAAGGTGGGCCGGACACGTCATGCGATTTTGCGATGACCGTTGGACCAGAGCGGTTACCGACTGGATCCCTCGGGACTCAAAGAACGCCGTTTGAAGTGACAGACTTCTTCACGAAAGCTCTGAACGAAAGGAATGAAGGACATCGTGTCCCTCGAGCGAGGAGGGTCCACTGGACAACTCTTGCACGCGACAGGGACGAATGGAGACGTTGCTGGCGCCCGCTCGAGCAATTCGATGATCAACGGGACGACAGGTGATACAGGTGATACATGGTGAAAAAGTAAATCTTGCAGTAGTGATATCACAAGGCATCCCTCTTCATCTGAGAAGGTGTAATATCCTTCTTCGAACGCGCTTCATGAATAAGATACTCTAAAAACATGAAGAAAGAGTCAAAGTTGTTTGTTCTGCAAATTTTGAAAATGTGCAATAGTAACTTCTAACAGAAAAAGTCGTTCGCTTTCTCCGTTTTGTGACATAAGACTTTCATGAACATTCCTTATTCATTTTTTTTTCAACTCTTGCACATCTCTAAGGTTAATTAGAAACTAGAGGAATAGCTTCCGAAAAATGGCCGCATATTTCCGAAGACTCGAAAAATTATCTCGATGTTCCATTTTCAGGAGTTTGTAGTCCGATTTTTGGGAACGCGCGGGTCGTCATTCAGATTTGTTCCAATTTCCTTCATTATGTGCTTTTTGCCAATTCTTCGGGTAATTAGGAGAGCCATGAAACCACGCCTTCGAAAAATAATAATGCTTCTGAATGATCAATTTTAATACTGTTTTTGTTTACATTTTTTCCAGTAATAGTACAAAATCTGCTGGAGCGTCACTTCGATCGTTGTGCACCGCGTGGCGCGTAAATGAAAGTTTTCCTCGCGCACCCCCCACCATGTCTGGCACCTCTTCAATTTGGATTTGAAGGTCACCCCTCCCCTTGCGTTGGAGAAATACTTCCCAAGGTGTTCTTTGCGCAACAAGCGCTTTCTTACGATTTCCGCCGGTACGATGTACATGACCTTCAAGAATCAGAGGCCGTGACCTTAACCTCCAGGAGCTGAATTACGTAAACTCCAATAGGCTGGTATTTATCTCTGCTTTAATATTTCTTGTGTGTTTTCGCAATACACTGTTTCTGTTGCTATTCACGTACACAGGCCATAGTCATTATATAAAGAATCCGCGTGGCCCAATCCACACCACAGAATTGTAACACTGAGCAGAGTAAAAAAATGAACATTTAGTGAAAACTTACATCGATAGCCAGTGTACCCATGAGCAACCTTGTTCGTGGTAGAAATAAGTGACCCGATGACGAAACTTAGAACGGATAAGACGAGAGGCACAAGTAGTATCTGCTGCATCTTACTTTCGACTGCGACACACTCTAGACATTCCTGTCATCAAAGCCGTGCATGCCACTAAATTAGAGTTTTTGGTTCTATTAATCTACTCAATTGATTTTAGTAGGGTTCAAAATTATGCTAATCATATCACCCAATGCCATGAGGTCGCAGGTATGTGAAGCGAAGGAGGCACAGATTTGCTTCTTGCACATAACAGTTCTGAGCGATCGTGAAACTGCTCACCAATTCCGATGTTCTCAGTTTGTGGAGTCATCGGCCCAATCCTACGTGACTGGGAGTTCTACGCCACCAACAGAGATCCAGCAAATCAGGGAGGTCGACCTCACTAGCAGAGCGTCTGAGTTGACCACCTATCTCGAATTTTTCGGTCCACCATAAGTATAGCTATTCATGCTACCCGTCCTGTTTTCAAGTGAAGATGTGGAAAGGGGTTAGATGTAAGAGAACCCTTAATCTGATAGAAAGACATAGCTCTAGCTTGCTAGAAAGGACATGGTGAGGAAGTAAACCAAAAAGAAGTGCTTATAGTTCCAATGAGGAAATTTGTTGTTCTGGTGACATTTTTCGACGAGAAAAAATTCATCATGAATCGTCCAGAGGGATATAGCTTCCAGTGGAAGGAGCTTCGCAAGGAGCCGAATTACTTTGCAAATGTAGTCATGGTGGTATTATAAGTTGGGGTAAGTTCATCACGACTGTTTTGCATGTACTTGAACACATCCGACAACCACCTATTCTCAGTCACTATCTACTATGTTTCCTGAAAGTTTCTGCGAGGCAGAACACGAAGGAGAAGTTGTATTTCAACGAACGACGCAATCCACGTAAATTGCTTCACAATGTCATGATTAGAGGAGCGAGATGTAGCTATGAGTTGACCCCTGCCGATGTGAAACATATTAGGAACATACAAGTCTCTCTGTTTGAGATATCTGCTGCCAGGGAAAAAAAACTTTCAGGGTTCGGAGTTTTGGGGTGTTTCTGTGAATATGAAAGTGAAGTGAAGCCAGGATGTAGTGTCATTACGCATTATGCTGATAATGTCATTATGCATATAGACTGCTTCAAACTACTAAAGCGGAGCACATCTATATGTACTTATGCAGCTCATCGCTACCAGTTATCTTCAAGTATCCCTGAGTTGCTTACCTACAGATATGAGACGAATGTCCCATATTTGTCCATCGACAAACTTAAATTCTCTCTCAAGCAAGAGCTGATTTACTGTCTCGGCGAATCCGACTATATGAAGGGCTCCACCAACGCAATTAGCCAGTGAAAATATCAGTCCAATTGAGCCGCCGTATTCAGCGCCAAGGGTTCTCGAAATCTGAATAAAAGAATATCCAATGAGTTAGATTATTAATTAGGTCCAGGGAATGCACATGTGGCAGCTCACCAAATAGTATAATCCTCCACCTTTCATTTCTCCATTTGTACAGATAGCACTCATAGAAATCGCCGTCAGAGTTGTGACAAGTGAGGATAGTAGTATCATCGCAATGCCCATAACTAAAAATTGTTTTATGGATGTTTTACGCAAGAAATTGTTTGGGTTCACACGAAATAACAATCTTGCTACAGCTTGGCAATGAGTAGTAAAAATTTCGAAATATCGTATTTTGTCACTCCCTTCCTCAAAAAAATCACGAAGAATTACCATTAGAATTGGTTTGCTAGCGCCAACTATCACAACGCAGCATAAAAGGCTTCAGTACAATGTGCAGTATGATCACATCGCTAATCCCATATCTTTCCGAATTGTCTGCTCTTTTCACTGAAAATCCCTCATTGAACTACTAACGTGTACAGCCGACGCGAAATCAAAAGGAAGTCGTTGCAATACCCGAAGCCATGCATATAGCGCAATGTGCTCAGCATGCACCTTTAAATGGTACATCCTGCTGTGAGCGACGCACGACAAACCACTCATTTTCTACTACTAGTCATTCATGGACGCCTACAAAAATTAGCCTTTACTCCCATTACAGTTCCAGATAGCGACTGGATAAGCACTGCTACTAATGACATCGGTGCATTGATGAAATGATCCACTTAATAAATGTTTAACAAACGGGCTGCATCAGTCGTTTCACATTTGTCTGCTTCGTCACGTATTTTTGGCTTCACAAGCACTCACTGTTTGATAATTGCAAAATATTCCAGTATTACCATCCCATCTCGCTTCCTACTACTCAATAACAATGACATGACATTATTGAGGAACGTGTAGCTAAATGAATGGCGTTTCTCTCCCAAGTTCTTATTAAAAAATCAATAATTGCCACTGATTCCTGCCAGAAGTTCTCGGCAAGGCCAACATATCCTACTACATGAATATGCACCATCTCAACAACAGACGATTACGCATGTTCACACTTGCACTTGATTCCTCAAATCCTTATCGGCCTTACGGAAGGTCACCAACTTACTTTGCCCAACATAACAATTCTCGTCGTAGCCCTAATAGTAGACATAATGCAATTGTAAGGGGTATAGCAGTGTATGTGACCTTCAATGCCAATTTTGCCCCTTGGCAACCGCCGAGGCCTGTGTTTCCCTACAAATACTTGAAGCCTCTACTTACTCACTATCGTTTGCAAAAAGAACGCCTCGAGAAGGGAATGCGTTTACAGAGAAGAAGTGTCCTGCGTAATGCAGGTCCCTATCACAATCATCTCACTTCACAGTGGTATCTCGGCACTGCTTTGGATCTCAGTTTTAGTAGCGGTTAGTCTTACTCCCTTCCCTCCCCCTCCCCTGCCCTCCAGCTGCCACTGAAGGACAATGTGAAATGACCGAGAGTGCGCCCCATCTGTGCTTATATAGCCTTGTGGGTGCTAGCACAGCCATGACATCACGTCAGATACCTCAACACTGAAATGGACCTTATTTAGTTTATTTATTTTAGCTATTGCACAAGGTTAGGTTGACAGATTAATATATGGATAAATACGTTAGAATCAAGAGTGTTCGGTTTCTCTCCCTCTCTAGTCCCCCGCCCATCCCTCGCTCCCCTCTAGCGGCCACGACAACACCATGTGAAATGACCATGCCTTTGTAGTTTATCTTATCACATCATAACATTAACACCCCAAAGCATAGACCTTTGGCTACCTTACTCGAGGCGCTCTTGTCACGGACGGACACACCTACACACACTACGGCACACCGGCAAATCGATACCAAAGTTATGGTTTATGAAATGAAGTGTTATTAGCCGTTGCAACTTGTTGTCATTCGACACTGCTCTCAGCCACACATCCAAATCATAGTGAATGTCCCTATGGTTTTAGATTTATCATTTGCCTGTGTGGACGTAGTTATCACAGCTGAGGGCATAACACATTCGGTGACACTTATATGTACTACAACCCTGATAACCTTTATCTGTGTTTAGCACTGTCTGTCACCAGCAGAATATGCCCTATGGTTGCTTCATTAGTACCACATTTGTCTGTGAAGCAGCGCACTTAAGATTAGATGTCACATCGTTTCCGAATTGAGGTTGAACAAATAGCGCATATTCCTATCACATTGTTCTCCATAACATATGTTCTGTCACACATGCTAAACTTCTTCTGAACTAATGCACTCTATGTCTCTATGCGCTGCTTGGCAAGCGTAGAAAAGTTCCTAGATTACGATGAGTGCTTGTTCTGGGTCCGCCTTGAGCACTTCTTCAACATCGTCACCCTATGCTCTGCGCTAAAATGGTATTGCATTATTTTCTGCATTATAGAGGCAACTAAATGTATTTCTACAGTAATCGTAACTCCTAGAAGTTGACGTCATAAAATGAAATCATAATGGTAAGAGCAGAAAAAAGAAGAAAGCATAGACTTACTGAGTCCAGCTTGGGCTACCACCCATGTTACACGCACGTATAGGATCACTCCAATAATATTCTGAAGACATCGAACAAATACTCCTTCAATCCAACCAAACTTGATTTCAGGTTCCTTTTTCGGTGCGCGAGAATGAAGAGATGTCTAAACGATATTATTGACTAGATGTTCCTTTAGTTATTCCCTCTGAAAAGCAGCTCGGTACGCAGCTCCACACTGCTCTTGATGTTTTTGAAATAGGCGCCAAATTGCGACACTGACCTATTGTCACTCCGACTGATAGGCACGCATTTCTTGAAATGCTCCCTAATTTTCAGTGTTGCGTTGTCTGTGATACTTTGCATCTATCTTTGTAATAAAGTTTTATTCTTTGCCATGTATCCCACCCCTTCGACTCCGACACCTTCGATTTGGCAAACTTATTTGATGAGGCTTAGGGATGGTTGCTTGCGCATCCTTGGGAATATGGAGAGCTCCCCCGCTTGAGGACGACGATTCTTCTGCCAAAGCGTTTCTACAATAATGTAATGTAGAACATATTACGAATGAGCGTCAGGTCGCCTACACATACATGAATCCGCACTCGATCAAGGCAGAATGGTCACTCAGCAAATGGGTTTTTACAATTTTTGTGTTCAGCTCAACATACTGTGCAGATACCCGTTCGCGGACCAAATCGTGAGAGCTAATTCTCGGCGTGGCGGCGCGTGACGCAGAACTGATCCTCTTACCAAGTCCTCATCATGTCTGTGAATGGGGCAAAGTTGTCAACATGTTCAGAGATCTCGCCAAAAGACCATCGAGCAATGACCTTGGCCTAGAGAACCAAAATCCTTGATGATTTGCATGATTTGCAAGGCAGGTGCGAGTAAAAAAAGACATCCTTGAAGGGAAACGACCACTTAGCCTCGATTCTACATTCTACACAGGCACAAGCGCGAGGAAGTTTCCTAATACAACAATAGAGCTTCATGTGCCGTACCGCGCATTGGCGCTTCCTCGTGAAGAAGAAGGTGGACACAGAGAGATCGCAGAGAGAGCGCGCAATACCCCCAAGTGAGGTCGAATCTATCATCATAGACCACAAGGGCACAGGTTCTTGCCCCATGGGCACCGCATATAAGGTGAGTGGAGCAACTCGCTGAAGTGAGTTGGGGGAGGGGGGAGATGTCTATCATAATTTGTATATATATATTATTATATTATACTGAAGTTCTTATTCGTTGCTAGGTATCCACCAGTTTAATTTTACGTGGATTTCGTCGCTTCCTTTTTATGCCTGCCTTGTTTGTCCTGTGTCAGTGTTGATCGCAGAGGGGTGAATTGAGCAGATTGTTCGCCGCTCTCAGTTCGTGTAGTGTTTCAAAATCAATGATCAAAAGAAGGCGCGAAGCGGAGGGAGCATTCCTGGACAAGGTACCGGCCCATCAGTCTACTCTTGACTGTCGAATTGCGTGAGCAAGCTGCAAGTGCTAGTAAGGATTGTCTAACTCAGATGTAAGGAACTCAGATGATTGACCTGATTCTAAGCGACTATACTAAAAAGGAAACTACCAGGTAGCTGGCCAGGAAGTGGGACTTAATTATCCCATTTCTTGTCCATTCCTCATACTGAAGATTCTCATTGCTATTACCTCCTTAACAGCTGTATATAAATTGTATTGTATTGTATATAAATTGTATAGTGTATATAAATAAATTTGCCTTCTACATTTGTGTCGACTTTGTTGCGAGGAGATCAGGCCTGTTGTCGCGATCCGTCGGGTGGAAATGTCATCGCGTAGCGAAGGGAGAGGTCTCACCGCGGGAAGTAGGCCGACTGTGTAGGCGAGAGCCGACAGGGTATGCTAAGGCTAATAAACAGACCTACAGACACTTGGATACTAGACTCACGAATTCCCCTGAAGTGAGAATGGAGAGGTGTTAAAAGGTGCATCCGTGAAAATGATAAATAAAATTGTCGAAAACTCGTGAAACGGCGATCTCCCCTTCCCGTTGGTTTCAAATTTGGATGAATAACTACAGCTGCTTGCGCTTCATTGACTTTTGCAACAACTTATTTTTTTTGTAATAATACTACATATTAGTGGTGATTTCATGTACTATAGTTATGATAATATGTACGGAAGCATCTATACGCGAAGGCGAAAGCTGAATGCAGTAAACTTAAAAGTGTAGTGGGTTGATATGAATGGCACTCTTGAGAAGAGAGTCACGCAACTCATCCGAGGATAGGGTACATCTGAGTCCCCTTTGGCATTATTTTTCGCACCTCCTAACCTTATTGATAGGGCGTTTTCTGCTCCGAAAACACCACATATCGACAATAAGGTGATCTTCTACTGCCCCACGCCTCACTTTTCTCATTCAGGAACATCAGTTTTTCTTGCGAGTTTTGTCTTTAGCCAGTTGAAGACATCGCGTGTTATGGCTTTTGGAATTTTGTGGGATGGGATAGACCCAGGATGACAGGGCGACTGATGAAGGTCCCTCTCGCGAAACTCTGGTTGAAAGAATGAGTGGTAAAGCTAGGAAGTTGCCAGGAAGTGGTTCGCCCGAGTTCTGTAGTCAGTGTGAGCGGGCTGATCGAGGAGTAAACGGCCTCGGTCAAAGAAGCTAGTTTGAATTGGACTTCAAACGTAGGATCGCTAACTAGGAAATTCCGAGAAGAAGCTGATGTGATAACACGTAGAAACATCAGTGCCTTCTGGAGACACTAAGGTCAGGGAAATAGGGGAGAGTGTCGAACTCTACTACAATGGAGAAGACACCAAGCGGAACGGTGTGGCCATAGCGGTAGCGGAGTCGCTCAAGGACTATGTCTCCGCTGTGAACAGGATCAGCGATCGGATCATGGCTGTGAGGATAGACACGAAGGAGGGGTACTGGACAATACTCTCCGTGTACGCACCGCAAGACCGGATGCCCCGAGAGTGAGAAGGACGAGTTCTACCTGAGCCTTGACGATGCCATCAGATCGATTCCGGAAGGCGATTACCTCACCATAGCAGGTGATCTGAATGGTCACGTCGGCAGTGACAGAAGAGGCCTGGAAAGGGTGCACGGAGGTAGAGGAATAGGAGTGAGGAACGCTGAGGGAGAGAGGGTCCTGGACCTGGCTACGCCCACGATCTGGCAATCTGCAGCACGTTCTTCGCGAAAAGGGAGACTCAGAAGGTAACCTACAGCAGTGGAGGGAGACAAACGGAAATCGACCATGTGCTGGTAAGAAGATCATCCCTCAGAAACTGTGAAGGATATCAAGGTACTCCCTGGCGAAGAATCTGGCTCCCCAGCACAGGCCCCTCCTGGCAGACATTGCCATAGACCTCCCCAAGAAGACAAGGGTAAGAACCGAGAGGAGAATCCGGTGGTGGAAGTTGCACCAAGCGAGAAATGACCTCAAACGAAGGATAATGGAAGTCGGTCTCCCAGATCCTAACGGGCCAATACAGCGGACTTGGAGCAACGCGGCTGAGACCATCCTGCGATGTGCCAAGGAGGTCTGGGCGAGACGCGAGGTGGATTCAGAGGAGACAAGGCAGCGTGGTTCTGGAACGAGGAGGTCCAGCGAGTCGTGAAGCAGAAGAAGGAAGCATACAAGCGCTGGCAGAAGACTATGAGGACCTCCTGCCTACAAGGATTGCAAGCAGGGTCAAGCGAGGCGTCGAGGAAAATTCGGAAATACGACCCCCCTCCCCCTCTGCCGAAGGCCGAAGTCCATGAAACAACCCTCTTTAAAAGCCGAACTATGAAAAAGTTGTTTAATTCTCCACCAAAACTGCTCATAAAAAAGCCCTGCTACCCCATCGTCCACAAAAAACTCGTTTAAAAAGTATAAAAGTGAAAAAGTCAAAGAATGATCATTAATGACGAGTCCTGTCAAACGAGCAAACGAGAAACGGAGCCTTGTAAAAGCCTTCGCCAGCTGTGTGTTGACTGGACTTTGGCGTTGACCGTGGAGCAGCTTATTTACTATTGAAATTTGAACAAATATTCAAATGATTATAACTTTCTTCAAAGTTAACGAATTTTCAATCTGAAAGCTGATTTGGGAGTTTTGTGAAGAGCTTTTTCTAATCAGTACTGAAATTACAGGAAGTTATAAGAAATAACAAATTTAGATCAAATAACGAGGAAAATTCGAGACGAGCACGAGTTTTTACACTTTCCGGAGCAATAACTTGCTTCATTTCCGTCAAATTCAAAAAGTTGATACGTCATACAAAACTAGAAGATTTTCTCTATCAAACGGTCGCTAAAGCAGCTTCATACGTCCAGTACTCAAAAAATGGCCACGTTGAGGATTTTTGCAAAATTAACGAGGAAAATTCGTGATGAGTGCGAGTTTTTACGCTTTCCAAAGCCATAACATGCAATCTGGAAAGTTAATACGTCATCATAAACCAGAAGATTTGCTCTTTCTATAGGCAACTAAAACTGCTAAATACGTTCACTATTTAAAAAATGGCCACGTTGAGGATTTTTGCCCGAGTACGCCGAAAGGTACTTTTTCGCTACATTACACTATCCCAACGACTATAGCTCCTTGCAGGAGCGATTACACATACTGAAGTAAGCAAAGACCCAAAACCGTGCTTTCTCTCTGCAAAAAGTGTAAAATTGTTTAGCGGGTCTCAACTTTAAAGGTTACATGCTTGTGAATTTGACGCTGAAGGCTGCGTTTCTTGTTGAATAGTGTACTCCTCTCTGTAATTTAACATGAACTCTTTCAGAACCCTCTTGATTCTTCCTGAATTAAGATTCGTTATCAAGATAGCCGTAGCTGAAGCGCGCGCAACCAACTGGGCCCACTCTGGGATGCGCCGTGTGCTTCACATCTCGTTGGATTTGAGGACCTACTTGAAAGATAAAATATCCCTAGAAAACGTGCGAATTTCGGATCCTTTGACTTGTGTGGTGATGAAACACTAAAGTCACACCTCTAAATCACGGAGATTTTGTGTGGACGGAATCAATTGTTATTGGAAATACTCTGGCCTGGTATCGATTCGATCCTTAATGTTTGTCCTCCGACGATGATCCTACTGTATCAATCGGGCCCGATCTCTCCCCAGCGGGCCAATACGACC